AACAAGCACCGTGAATGCACAAACAGGATGTTCTCTATTAGAAAAGCATAGTTTTTTAAAAATTTAATCTAGTTTTCCAATCAACCAGTTCAGAGATATTATTACACACCTCTGAAGCAGGTGGGACTTAGACTTGGGCCTCTTGGTCCAGAGGTAGGAGCACGACCACAGTGCTACAAGAGGGCCTATTTTTACTTATATGACTCCCAGCTCCTTCTTCACAATTAGTTAATAGTCTCAACTGTGTCACAGAAGGCAAGAACAGATTAAAGACCATGGCACTTGCCCATGTCACCTCGATCGCTTAAACACAGGTGGCTTTTGAACCTGGGAACAGGATGCTCACATGCTCAACAGAGATGGCACATGAGTCTCAAGGAAAATTTTAAAAGGGCATTGATACTCAAGAACAAAAAGTAATTAAGTAGCATTTGAGAGTGCATTCAAATCTGCATTTATTAGTATTTAGGCCAGATATATTCCAAGCAAAACATATGGGTGTTACTGCCTTACGTCTCACTTCCAGTCATTATTGGTTATACAGTCATAGAGTCATAGAGATGTACAGCATGGAAACAGACCCTTTGGTCCAACTCGTCCATGCTGAGCAGATATCCTAAATTAATCTAGTCCCATTTGCCCACATTCCCTTTAAACCATTCCTATTCATGTACCCATTCAATGACTTTTAAAAGTTGTAATTGAACCAGACTCCACCACTTCCTCTGGCAGCTCATTCCAGACGTCGCATTGCAAAACATAACTTTACTTCTTTGAGATTCTTTAATTAAATAGAAACCCTCAAATCTATCAGGCGCGCTTAGCCCAAGATCCACAGCATAGACTGTTTGAAGAATCCAGTAATCACTTGTGATTTATGCCATAGAATTACATTAATGCCTGAAATTATTTAGTTCTTAATTTCATTTCTTAAAACAATGGATTGTGGAATTAATGCACAACCATGGGCTTACAGTATTGCTGATCAGAATTTTCTTTGTTATTGTTAGATATGTGTCCTCAATTAAGCTAAACATGGAATATTACTGTACAAAGCTATAACTGTATTCTTTTGACCCACTTGTCAAACTGCTACTCATGCACATACCAAAGCAGGAGTCGGTCTGTCTTTCCAAAAGCTGTTCATTTTTATGTCTTTGTTCACTACAAACACGCAATTACTCTATCCCCTTCCTAATCCAACGCCTACCCTATCCCCTGGGAAAAGGACACACCTCTGGAACAGGTAGGATTTGAACGCTGGCCTTCTAGCTCAGAGGTAGAAACACTAATGTGTCAGAACAGCCTTCTAGCACATGATCCTCCTTTTATACTTTCTAAGTAAGCTGTTCAAAGATGTTATTACATACCTCCTGAGCAAATGGGACTTGAACCCATATCTCCTTGCTCAGAGGTAGGGGTAGGCAATGGCCTAGTAGCATTATCGCTAGATCATTAATCCAGAAATTCAGCTAATGTTTGGGGGACCCAGGCTGGAATTCCATTATGGCAGATGGTGGAATTTGAATTCATTTTAAAAAATCTGGAATTAAGAATCTACTGATGACCATGAAACCATTGTTGATCGTCGGATAAACCCATCTGATTCACTAATGCCCTTCAGGTGAGGAAATTTGCTATCCTCGTCTGGTCCGGTCTATATGTGACTCCAGACCCACAGCGATGTGGTTGACTTTCAATTGCCTTTTGAAATGGCATAGCAAGCCATTCAGTTGTACCAATTGCTACAAAGTCTCAAAGGAATTGGACCAGACAGATCACTTGGCAAAAACCTAGGCACCAAAAAAGACAACGGCAGAAATAGCCCTGTCAACCCTGCAAAGTCCTCCTTACTAACTTCTAGGGGCTAGTGCCAAAATTGGGAGAGCTGCCTCACAGACAAGTCAAGGAACATACTCACGGAATCATACCTTACAGACAATATCCCAGACCCCACCATCACCATTCCTGGATATGTCCGTGGTACCCACAGGTAGGACAGACCCAGCAAAGGGGGCAGGACAGTGGTATACAGTCAGGAGGGAGTTGCCCTGGGAGTCCTTGACATTGACTCCGGAACGCATGAAGTCTCGTGGCTTCAGGTTAAACCTGGGCAAGGAAACCTCCTGCTGATTACCACATACCATCCTCCCTCAGTTGATGAATTGGTATTCTTCCATGTTGAACAACACTTAGAGGAAGCACTGTGGGTGGCAAGGGCACAGTACAAAATGTACTCTGCATGGGGGATTTCAATGTCCACCACCAAGAGTGGCTCAGCAGCAGTGCTATAGATCGAGTTGGTTGGATCCTAAAGGACACAGCTGCTAGACTGGGTCTGCGGCAGGTGGTGAGGGAACCAACAAGAGGGAAAAACATACTTGACCTCATCCTCACCAATCTACCAGCTGCAGATCAATGTGTCCATGACAGTATCAGTAAGAGTGACCACTGCACAGTCCTTACGGAGACAAAGTCCTGCCTTTACATTGAGAATAACCTCCATCGTGTTGTGTGGTACTATCACTATACTAAATGGGACAGACTTTGAACAGATCTAGCAACTCACGACTGGGCATCCATGAGGCAATGTGGGCCATCAACAGCAGCAGAACTGCACTCCAGCATAATCTGTAACCTCATTGCCCACATATCCCCCAGTCAACCATTACCATCAAGATAGGGGATCCACTCTGTATCAACAGAGAGTGCAGGAGGGCATGCTAGGAGCAGCACCAGACAAACCTGAAGATGAGGTGTCAACCTGGTGAAACCACCAAACAGGGTTACTGGCATGCCAAACAATATAAGCAGCAAGTGATAGACAGAGCTAAACGATCCCATAATCAACAGATCAGATTTAAGCTCTGCAGTCCTGTCACATCCATTCGTGAATGGTGGTGGTCAATGAAACAACTCACTTGAGGAGGAAGCTCCACAAATATCCTCATTTTCAATGATGGAAGAGCCCAGCACATAAGTGCAAAAGATAAGGCTGAAGCTTTTGCAGCAATCTTGAGCCAGAAGTGCCGAGTGATGATCCAACTCAGCCTCCTCCAGTGGTCCCTTACATTACAGATAACAGTTTTCAGCCAACTCAATTCACTCCAGTGATATAAAAAATAGTTGGAGACACTAGAAACTGCAAAGGCTACGGGCCCTGACAACATTCCGGCAATACTAATGAAGACTTGTCCTCCAGAACCTGCCACTCCCCTAGCCAAGCTGTTCCAATACAGTTACAACACTGGCATCTACCGGACAATGTGGAAAATTGCCCAGGTATGTCCCTTACATAAAAAGCAGGACAAATCCAACCCAGCCAATTATCGCCACATCAGTCAACTTTCAATAATCAGTAAAGTGATGGAAGGTGTCATCAACAGTGCTATCAAGCAGCACCTGCTCAGCAATAACCTGCTCAGTGACGCCCAATTTGAGTTCCGCTAGGGCCACCCATCTCCTGACCTCTTTAAGGCTTTGGTTCAAACATGGACAAAAGAGCTGAATTCTAGAGGTGAGGCAAGAATGACAGCCCTTGCCATCAAGGCTGCATTCGACTGAGTGTGGCATCAAGCAGCCCTAGCAAAAATGGAGTCAATGGGTCAAGGGGGCAAACTCTCCAGTAGATGGAGTCATACCTAGCATATAGGAAGATGGTTGTGGTTGCTGGCTGTCAGTCATCTCAGTTCCACGACATCTTTGCAGGAGTTCCTCAGGGTAGTGTCCTAGGCACAACCATCTTCAGCTGCTTCATCAATGACCTTCCTTCCCTCCCAAGGTCAGAAGTGGGGATGTTTGCTGATGATTGCACAATGTTCAACACCATTCACGACTCTTCAGATACTGAAGTAGTCCATGTCCAAATGCAACAAGATGTAAACAATGTCCAGGCTTGGGCTGACAAGTGACAAGTAACATTCACGCCACACAAATGCCAGGTTATGACCATCACCAATAGGAGACAATCTAACCACTGCCCCTTCAATGGTGTTACCATCACTGAAACCCCCACCATCAACATCCTGGGGGTTATCATTGACCAGAAACTCAACTGGACTCACCACATTAACACAGTGGCTACAGCTGGTCAGAGGCTAGGAATACTGTGGCGAGTATCTCACCTCCTGACTCCCCAAAGCCTGTACACCATCTACACGGCACAAGTCAGGAGTGTGATGGAATATTCCTCACTTGCCTGATTGGGAGCAGCTCCAACAACACTCAAGAAGCTTGACACCATCCAGGACAAAGCAGCCCACCTGATTGGCACTATATCCACAAGCATCCACTCCCTCCATCACTGGCGCCGGAGCAGCAGTGTGTACTATCTACAAAATGCACTGCAGAAATTTAAAGATCTTCAGACAGTACCTTCCAAATCCACAACCACTTCCTTCTAGGAGGACAAGGGCCGCATATAGATTGGAACTCCTCTACCTGGAAGTTCCCCTCCAAGCCACTTACCATCCTGATTTGGAAATATATTGCCATTCCTTCACTGTTGCTGAGTCAAAATCCAGGAATTCCCTCCCTAATGACATTGTGGGTCAACCCACATGAGGCAAATTGTAGTGGTTCAAGAATGCAGCTCACCACCATCTTCTGAAGGGCAACTAGGGATGGGGAATAAATGCTGGCCCAGCCAGTGATGACAACATCCCACAAATGAATGAATAAAAAGTACCTCTGCACCCGACCTAGCCAATACCAGCCCTTAAATTAGAAGAAAATCTATTCATTTTTTTAACAATCAACCTGTTCAAAGATGTTATCACACACCTCTGGAGCAGTTGGGACTTAAACCCAAGCATCTCAGTGGAGGGGTGAGGACACTGCCACTTTACCACAAGACGGCCCCCAAACAAATGCTGAAATGGAAAAAAACTGCTTATTAAACCAGCCCGTAAGTATTTGTGTTCTAATGAGAATAAGTTGCTCCCTATCAACTCTTGAGAATGTCTCTGAGCAGAATCTTTTACAATATGGTCACCACTTACCAAATCCTTTGCATTAAGTGAGACCTCATCCCACCAGGGGGAGACAAAGTCATAGTCACAGTTCAGGATCCTCTTGTACATGTATTGATCTCCTCTCTCATCATAGAATGGTTCAAAGCCACACAGTCTGACAAGAGAGCAAAAAATTGTCAGAGGACAGTTGTCCTGCATGTTGCTAAGCTTTATGAATAAAAACAGCATAGAATCTTAGAATGGTTGCAGTTTCCTTTAATTTGCTGCTATTTTGCACCATGGTGTTTGCATCAGATGTTTTTACAGTACTAAATTCCTACTGCTGAAGTACATAAATTAATTTTTCAATAAAATTGCTATATTCAACTAATAGAACAGATGAAATCATGGAATAATAAAATGTTCAATGTTACATTTGCAGATTCTTACAATATGTAGGTGATGACTCCCACTGACCACATGTCAACTTCTGGTCCATAGGCACAGCCTCGTAAAATTTCAGGGGCTGGGTGAAAATAACAAATTAAAGTGAGGCTTAAAAAAGGCAAGCAAACACCAAGTGTAATACCAAAACAATCCTATTTAGCAAATGTTTATATAAAAATGCAATGCAAAAATTTTGGGAACACTATCATAAGCAAATTCCCATCCAAATTATATACACTCTAACATGGATGTATACAGCTGCTGTTTCTTTGTCACTGGTCAGAGTTCTGCAATTTTCCCAAATATTTTCTACTCAAAGGTTTTAGAGTAGATATGTAGCTCGGGTTGTGGATGTTGTGGTTGGTTGGTTCGTCGAGCTGGTTTGTTGTTTTTCTGCAGATATTTCAATACCCTGCTGGGTAATGTCACAAGTGCAGCATCCAATGAAGTTTGTTGTGTTTTCCTGCCTGTTATTTAAACTCTGGTGTCTGTCGGGCTGGATTACCTCACTTCCGGTTTTTCTTCGCAGTGGAGTGTATATGGGGTCAAGCTCTATGTGTTTGTTGATGGCTTTCTTCACGGAGTACCAGGCTTCTAGGAATTCCCGTGCTTGTGTCTGCTTTGCTTGTCCCAGGATCTTGGTGTTGTCCCAGCTGAATTGATAGTTCTCCTTATCCATGTGGATAGAGATGAGTGAGTATTGGTCGTGTCTTTTTGCAGCCAATTGACGTTCGTGTATCCTTGTGGTTAATTTCCTTCCTGTTTGTCTGATGTAGTGTTTGTCACAGTCTCTGCAGGGAATCTTGTATATGACCACTGATCTTGTCCACTGTGGGCAGTGGGTCTTTGGTTCGGGTGAGCAGTTGTCGTAGGGTTGATGTGCACAATGTCATATACAAGGAAATTAACAACAAGGGTACACAAACATCAGGGTTGGCCAGGATATTGCCCTTCCCTAGTTGCCCTTGAGAAGATGGTGGTGAGCTGCCTTCTTGAACTGTTGCAATTCATGTGCTGAAGGTAGACTCACAATGCCCTTAGGTAGGGAATTTCAGGATTTTGACCCAGTGAAACTGAAGGACGGTGATATATTTCCAAGTCAGGATTGTGAGTAGCTTGGAGGGGAAATTGGAGGGTGGTGTTCCCATGCATCTGGTGCCTTTGTCCTTTAGACGGTAGTCATAAAGTTATACAGCACAGAAACAGTGCCTTCAGTCCAACCTGTCCATGCCAACCAGGTTTCCTAAACTCAATATTTCTTCATTCGGCCCATGTTCCTCTAAACTTTTCTCATCCATGTATCTGTCCAATTGTCTTTAAATGTTATAACTGTACTCATCTCTACCGCTTCCTCTGGCAGCTTGTTCCATGTATGCACCACTGTGTGTGTGAAAAAGCTGCCCCTCAAGTCCCTTTTAAATCTTTCCACTCTCACCTTAAACCTACGCCCTCTAGTTTTGGACACTGTCCCCCTCAGGAAAAGACCTTGGCTATTCACCTTATCTATGTCCCTCATAATTTTATAAACCTCTATAAGGTCACCCCCTAGCTTCCTATGCTCCAGGGAAAAAAATTCTCAGCCTATCCACCACTCCTTATAACTCGAACCTTCCTGATAATATCCTTGTAAATCTTTTTTGCTCCCTTTTCCAGGGCAACCAGAATTGTATGCAGTACTCTAAATGTGGCCTTACCAATGTCGTGTACAGCCATAACACAATGTTCCAACTCCTGGACTCAATGTTCTGACCAATGAAGGCAAGTGTACCAAACACCTTCTTCTCCACCATCTACCTGTGGCGCCATTTTTAAGGAACTACTATCTGCACTCCTAGATCTCTCTGTTCAACAACACTCCCCAGGGCCCTACCATCAACTGTGCAAGTCCTGCCCTGGTTTGTCATACCAAAACACAAGACCTCACATTTGTCTAATTTAAATGCCAATGGCCATTCCTTGGCCCTGTTGATCAAGACCTTGTTGTACTCTTAGATGACCTTCTTCACTGTCCACTATACCACCAATTTTGGTGTCATCTGCAAACTTACTAACCATGCCTCCTATATTCTCATCCAAACCATTTATAGTAATGGTAAACAAGTGGACCCATTGGTCACAGGCCTCCAGACTGAACAACAACCCACTACCACCACCCTCTGTCTCCTACCATCAAGCCAATTTTGTATCCAATCTAGCTCTCCCTGTATCCCATGTGATCTAACGTTACTAACCAGTCTACCATGTGGAACCTTGTCAAAGGCCTTGCTAAAGTCCATGCAGACAAAGTCTACCACTCTGCCTTCATCTACTGTCTTGGTCACATCATCAGAAAACTAAATCAAGTTTGAGAGACTCAATTTCCCATGCACAAAGCCTTGCTGACCACCCCTAATCAGTCGTTGCTTTTCCAAATGCATGTAGATCTATCTCTCAGAATTCCCTCCAACAACATACCCACTTTAAAGTTTTTTTTTGAGAAGATTTGTAGCTCAGGTTGTGGATGAGGTTGTTGACTTGCTCGCCGAGCCAGTGTGTTTGATTGCAGATGTTTCGTCACCATGCTGGGTAACATCATCAGTGCGCCTCCGGTGAAGCGTTGGTGTTCTGTTCCACTTGTTTTTTATATGCTCAGTTTGCCAACCATCCCAGCAAATCGAGGCATATAAATAACAAGTGGGACAGAACACCAACCTACCCACTACTGACATCAGGCTCCCTGGTCTCTAGTTCCTAGGCTTTTCCTTGCAGTCCTTCTTAAATAATGGCACAATATTAGCCACCCTCCAGTCTTCGGGCACTTCATTCTTGGCTGTTGATGATACAAATATCACTGTTAGGACACCTGTGATTTCTGCCCTAGCTTCCCAAAATGTCCTGGGATACATTTGATCAGGGCATGGAGATTTATCCACTTTTACATGTTTTAAGACCTCCAGCACCTCCTCTTCTGTAATGCGGACTCTTTTCAAAAACACAATATTTATTTTCCTGGGTTCCCTAGCTTCCATACAATTTTCTCTATGATAAATACTGATGCAGAATATTCATTTAGGACCTCAGTCATGTCTTGTGGTTCCACACATGGATAGCCTCATTGATCTTTAAGGGGCCCTATTCTCTCCCTAGTTACTCTTTGCCCTTAATATCCTTATAGAATCTCTTTGGATCTCCTTAACCTTATCTGCCAAAGCTATCTCATGTCCCCTCTATATTCTCCTGATTACCCTCTTAAGTGTACTCCTATACCCCTTATACTCCTCAAGGGACTCACTTGATCCCAGCTATCTATATCTGACATATGCCTCCTTCTTTTTCTTGACTAGAGCCTCATTATCTCTAGTCATCCAGTGTTCCCTACTCCTGCCAGCCTTGCCCTTCACAGGAGCAGGAACATGCTGTACTTGAAATCTCACTTTTGAAAGCCTCCTACTTTACCTGTGAACAGCTTCCACCAGTCAACTTTTGAAAGTTCCTGTCTAATACCATCAAAATTGGCCTTGCCCCAATTTATAACTTTAACTTGTGGACCAGGCCTAGCCTTTTCCATAACTATTTTAAAAATAATAGAATTATGGTCAATGGTCCCAAAGTGCTCCCCTCCTAACATCTCAGTCACTTACCCTGCCTTATTTCCCAAGAGGAGATTGAGCTTTGCCCCTTCTCTAGTAGGGCCATCTACATTGAGAAAGTTTTCTTGAATACACTTAATCAATTCCTCCTATCCAAGCCCTTAACACTATGGCAGCCCCAGTCTATGTTTGGAAAGACAAAATCTCCTACTATTACAACGTTATTATTCTTACAGTCATCTGAGATGTCTCTACATAATTGTTCCTCAATTTCCTGCTGACTATTGGGGGTATTCTATAATGTAATCCCATCAAAGTGATCACACCTTTCTCATTTCTCATTTCCAACCATATCGCTTCACTGGATGATTCCCCCAGGAATATCCTCTCTAAGTACTACCGTGATGTTTTTCCTAATCCAAAACATTACTCCCCCTCCTCTCTTGCCTCCCCTTCTACCCTTCCTATAGCATATACATCCCGGAACATTGAGCTACTCCTCCTGTCCTTCCCTGAGCCATATTTCTGTAATAGCTACGATATCACATTCCCACATTCCCACTATTGCACTCAGTTCATCTGCCTTACTTGTCAGGCTTCTTGCATTGAAATAAATGCATTTTAATTTATCAGTCTTCACTTCTCCTCTGTTATGCTCTTGCCTGCCTTGTTTGTTTATCTCACAGTCTTTAACTTCTGTACCAGCTTCAACCTTCTCTCTTGCCTCACTCTGTCTTAGGGTTCCAACCCCCGGCCAGACTAGTTCTCCACCAGGATTTAGGTTCCCCTCTAGTTCTGGTGCAACCTGTCCCTCTTGTGGAGGTCACTTCCGCCCCAGAAGAGATTCCAATGATGCAAAAATCCGCAGCCCTGCCCACCCCCCAACCCGCACCAGCTCCTCAGCCACGCATTCCACTGTCCTATCCTCCTATTCGTACTCACACTAGCACATGGCATCAGGAGTAATTCAGAGATTACTATCCTTGAGGTCCTGCTTTTTAACCTCCTGCCTAACTCCCTACATTCACTCTGCAGGACCTCATCCCTTTTTCTATCTGTGTCATTGGTACCAATCTGTACAGCAATCCCTGACCACTCATGCTCCCTTTTGAGAATCTGCTGCAACCACTCCAAAATGCCCTTCACCCTGGTACCAGAGAGGCAACACATCATCCTGAAATGTTTCCGTGTTAAGAAATTTCTGCAGTGCACCTTATAGGTAGTACACACTACTACTACAGAGCATCAGCTGTGGAGGGAGTGGATGCTTGTGAATGTAGTGCCAATCAAGCAGGCTATTTTGTCCTGGATGGTGTCAAGCTTCTTGAATATTGTTGGAGCTGTACTCAGGCAAGTGGGAGGAGAGTCAGGAGGGGAGTTACTTGCAGCAGGATTCCTAGCCTGTGGCCTGCTCTTGTAGTCGCAGTATTTATATGACTAGTTTCAGTTTCTGCAATACATAAACAGCTTCTGGAAGTTACCACAGTATCCTGGTGTTCCACATATAGTCTTCATGGTCACTTGATCTTCTGTAATCTTGGAAAGTCCAAAGTCAGCTGAAAAAGGGGAAAAAGAAAGCACTGTTTTATCTTCCTTATCAAATTTATTTTTCTCCGGAAAGATTAAAGATGAACTTTATGAAATTGTTTCCAAAAAGAGTTCTGAATGATAAGTGTCTGGGGCATTCAATAATTAAGACCTTTCTTTCCTATAGCTGCAGTAATGGGATGAGTTCAAGCATTGGTTGATACATACATCTGTCAAACAAGTATTCATTGAGATCTGTCAGTTTTCCTTAGAAATACATTTTAAAAAACTAACTCAGTTCACCTCTTTTAATAAAAAAATAGCCTTTGTGCAATGGCACAGTGTCTAGGATAAACTTGGAAATTAACACGTATGTGTTAAATTTAACAAATAATGGACTCGAATAATTAAACATTAATCAGTTTGAATTGCAAAGTCCAAAGTGGGCAGTAATTGTGATCTGGGTACAATTCAAATCAATAATGTAATCAAGGTGTTCAGCAGACACAATTAAGTTCCAGAGAGAAAACTGGGTGATTTTTTACCTGTTATCTCAACCCAAGATTTTACAATACCAAAGTAATTGATAATAGGTTACCTGTAATCTTTTACTTCAAGTAATTTTATTATTATCATAACATTTTATTTAGACTTGTTAAATCATGTTTAACAGCAGTGATCAATAAAGCCTCAGAGGGTTGAAATTGCAATAAATTACTTTCAAGGCTAAATTCACATAATATTGGTGATCTGCCAGCATTTGTCATGCCTACACAGGTAGATTATCTGATTGATGAATTCAATTCCTCTACAATTGATAAAGAGCTAAGAGGAATAGGACTTATGAATCACCCTTTATGGAGATCCTTGACCATACATTTGTGCTGGGATGTCTTTGGGGAGGGAATACACTTCAGAGGTAGGCACTGCAGGAGATCTGGAAAGCCTTATCTCCCCTTCCAACTCCAGCCTGATTTATCTCGTGCTCTTTTGCGCTCTCTTTCTCTTTTCGTAACATAGATATTTCTTAAAAGTCCAAAACGTCAAAATCACATTTGATCGGATTAGATTCAGGCACGAATTATACAATAAATGGTAGAACCCTTAGGAGCATTGACATTCAGAGGGATATTGGCGTATAGGTCCACAGATCTCTGAAAGTGGCAACACAGGTGGATAAGGTGGTCAAGAAGGCATACAGCACGCTTGCCTTCATTGGCTGGGACAATTTAAAAGTTGGCAAGTTATGTTACAGCTGTATAAAACCTTAGTTAGGCCACATTTGGAATATTGCATGCAGTTATGGTCACCACACTACCAGAAGGACGTGAATGCTTTGAAGAGGTTGCAGAGAAAGTTTACCAGGATCTTGCCTGATCTGGAGGGTTTTAGTTATGAGGAGAGGCTAGATAAACTCGAATTGTTGTCACTAGAAAGATGGAGGCTGAGGGGCAACCTGATAGAGGTCTACAAAATTATGACAGGCATAGATAGGGTGGATAGTCAGAGGCTTTTTCCCAGGGTGGAAAGGTCAACCACAGATTCAAGGTGAGAGGGAGAAAGTTTAGGGGAGAAGTGTGGGGAAAATTTTTCACACAGTGGATAGTGGGTGCCTGGAATGTACTGGTAGTGGAAGTGAAGGAAGCAAGCACATTAGCAAAGTTTAAGGCATATCTTGATAAACACATGAATAGGAGGTGAACAGAGGGGTAAAAACCATGAATGGGCAATGAGTAGCGAGTCTAAATAAGGACTAGGAATCGGCAGGCTTGGTGGGCTGAAGAGCCTTTTCCTGTGCTGTATTATGCTGTATTTTATTACTGTACGAACATCCTCATTCCTTAATAATGGCAGAGCCCAGCACATCAACGTAAAAAACAAGTTTCAGCCAATTCATATCATATAAAATAATGAAGGCACTGGATGCAGTAAAGGCTCTGGGACTTGACAATAATCTGCTTATAGTACTGAAGACTTACAGAACTAGCTGCATGCCTGGTGAGTTGCTCCTGCTCAATGACAATACCAGCATCTACCCAAAAACCTGGGAAATTGCCTCAGTGTGTACTGTCCTCAAAAAGGACAAATTTGATCTGACCAATTTCCAGCTCATTCGTCTATTCGCAGTCATCAACAGGGTATCATTGATGTCATTGACAGTGCTATAAAGTGGCACTTACTGAGCAATAACCTGCTCAACAAATGTTGGTTCAATTCTGTCGGCTTCAGATTTCATTACAACCTTTGTCTAATTACAGAGAAAACAGCTGAATTCAAGAGGAGACATGAGGATGAGTTCCATTGTCGTCAAGGCAGCATTCATCCAATTGTGGCCTCAAAGAGCTAATGGGAATTACATAGGAGTCATATCTTGCAGAAAAGAAGGCTAATCATCTCCATCTGATGCCATCGCTGAGGAGTTCCTCAAAATAGTGTTCTGGATCCAACCATCTTCAGTTGGTTCAATGATTTTTACTCCATTATAAGGTCAGAAGTAGGGAATGGTTGCTGATGATTGCCTAGTTTCAACATCATTCATGTCTTCTCAGATATTGAAGTTGTCCACAGCCACATGCAACAAGACTTGGACAATATTCAGGTTGGACTGCAAAGTGCCAAATTCATGCCACTCAAGTGCTAGACAATGAGCAATTCCAACAAGACCAAATCTAACCATCTCCCACTATTAACATTCTAGAGTTTGCCATTGACCAGAAAGTAAACTGGACCAGGCTATAAACAAAAGGTCAGTCTTGCAATTCTGTGGGGAATAACTTACTTCTTGTCATCTTAATGGCTGTCCACCATTTACTAGCAATGTAACGAAATACTTTTCTCCATTTGCCTGAATAGTTACAGCTAAGGGAATTTATCTGAAGAAGCAGACACACCTGCAAAAGTCCTGTGTGGGATTCAGGAATAGCAGCAGCAAGGTTAAAAGAAGCAGTGACAGGAGACAGATTCCAGAAACAGACAGACCAGTGCCAGAACTCTTGTGGAACTCAGGAAATGTGGCAGTGAAGTTAAAAAGAGAAGCAAGTGCAGAGGGGTCCCAAAAACAGACAGAGAGGGTCGATGCTGTGTGGTATTCGGGAGAAGTGGCAGTGAGGTCAAAAGGAACATTGAGCATAGACAGATCCCAGAAAAAGACAGTTAAAACAAATCAACAAAATCCAAGCGTGAAACCACAGGACAGCAGGTAGGTAATTGGTGGGCATTTCTCTTGTTTTGTGTAACTGAATATTGATTTGAGACCCTAAGTTCAACTTGAAAACTTTATGTAGGTAGTTAATATTTTAGAACTTAAAACTAAATTTCTTCATTTGATAGTGTTAAGAGGTTCTGATGGCTTGTTTGACATAAACAAGGATGAGATTTTCCTAGTCCATACTTTCTGCTTTCTAATTGCTGGGTTAAATGTTGTACTTCAACCAGAATTGAGTTACACTTGCCACACTTCTCCTATTTGGGTAAATACAAAATAAATTTGCCGATCATTTCTGATGTGATTGTGACAGACTCTGCTAATTTATGTTTTTCTAAAAAATATTCAACTAACATCCTCTTTAAAACATTTGTTAAGTGATTAAATATTATGCATTTTTCACATTTTTGAACTGAACGTGGAGTGTTGTTTCAATACGTTTAAATTGGCCACCACATTATACAATAGTACTTTTCTGTACTTAATAGCTTAGTAATTTTCTTTGCAAGAAGGAAAAGCAGTGAGACAATTTTTGACCAAAAATGTCATTTGTCTTTTAGGGTTTCGTGCAATTGTAGAAGGTGATAACTATGTAGACAACTCACCTATTTTTAACAATGCATCTGGAGTAGGAGAAGCATAGAGAAGATTTTCAGGTTTGAGATCACGATGAACGATTCCATTTTCATGCAGGTACTAAACAAAAAACAAAGGAATACACAAGGAAATGAGTACAGTTACTAACAGCTTAGACATGACACTCCATTAATATCCATGAGCACTACAATGATGTGGTTTCATATTTGATCCACTAACTGACATGGTGAATAAACATTCATTTAGAACACATCTTTGCCAGAGTCAAATAGTGATAATCATTCGTGTTCACATGAACTGAATGCTGTACTTTAAAGAAATTACACAAATCCTTTGCGAGCTAAATTTTCTCTATTTCTGTGATGTAACCAGACTTTGCAGGATCTATAAGTTAATAAATGCAGTACAAAACTGACTTCTGAACTGTGCTATAACCAGATTATTCTCTTACAGTTTCTGCATAAATATTTTGAGGGTGTGGTAATGTAAAAGGAAAAACACGAAAACAAGGTGGTTGTGCAGAACAGACATCTATAAAACAGTATATTATTTCTCAATGAAGACTTTTCCTTCTGTCAAGTAACACCATTATAATTTTAGGTTGATAACCTGATAACATGGTAGATTACATTCTCTTGCTGTCACAATTATGGACAACTGAGCAACTAAGTTAATGGCCGTAGATACAGTGGATGGTAGAAATAAATGGCCGGATTTTCCAATAGCTAGAAAGTCATTATTCCAGAATAGATAGATGGTAGTTGTACGCGGAGACCCTGCAAATTCTCACCCTAGTAGACTTAAGGAATTGCCAGGGAAATTGAAGACTCCACAGGGAAGTTCCTCTACATCTGAACACCTCTGAAAGTATCCATTTAAATCAGAGAATTTGGAGGGTTCCAATGAAATTAAGTAAACAGTTACTCAGGAAAATTTAGACTATTACATACATTGTCTAACTCCTGAGTAACTATTAAACTAACCTCATGCTTACTTTGTATACTCCCAAGTATACCTCCCCACAGCACTTACAGCCCCAAGTCCTATTTCACAACCTCACTCTTTCCCTGGAACCCAACACCCCTTCTCTGCTTTGGATCCCAGAGTCCTCTTCATCCGCTCAAGATCTGTTGCCCCTTCCTACACTCCAGACATACACCCCCTACCCTGCTCTACACCTGTCCTCTTGACCCACTCCACACAGTCTTTCTGTGTTGCATGACAAGAAATTGCAGCTTTTTAAAAAATTCTTGAATGGGACACAGGCATCATTGGCAAGGCCAGCACTTGTTGCTGTTCCCAAACACTCTTGAACTGAACGGTCATTTTAGACGGCAGTTAAGAGTCAACCACATTGCTGTGGATCTGGAGGCATATGTAGGTGAGGACAGCAGATTTCCTTCCCTGAAGGGCATTAGTGAACCATATCAGTTTTCACAACAACTATAGAAAACTAAATTGTCACCATTAGGTTACCTTTTAATTACAGATTTTATTGAATTCAAATATCATCATCTCCCATGTTAGGATTTGAGCCCATGTCCCCAGAACATTATCCTGAATAACTGGCCCAGTGACATTACCAGTGTACTACAGTCTTCCCTAAAATAGAGGGGACTATCTTTGCCATGAACTAAACAGTGAACAGCTGAAGAGAAGGAACATGAGGTGGAAGAGGAGGAACTGAAAACGGGAGACAAGTAACTCTCTGTTTGGGCTGTATCTGAAGAAAATGTCCAAATATGAGACCAGTAACCTCAAGCTCAATTTCCTATTTGCTAACTGTCACATGCCTTACCTTCCCTCTGTCACTAGCCATCATATTGTCTGCTTGGCTACAATACAAAACTATAATCCACCACAAAATAAATATTCCAAAACACATTTATAAATGAAATCCTACTCTTTGTAAACATAAGTCAACTTTGAATATGTCCTTAATGCTTGTCTTTGGCTGTCGTAGTGATCCTACTTAGTGCTATGGCTGTAACATGGTTGGTAAAAGGTTTCTGGAGGAGATGGAGGATGAGCTTTGAAGGTTAAGCAGTTCTGTGGCAGGAAGGCCTGGCAGCAGACTGCACCACTACAGCATGACAGACAGCAGGGGCACTGGTGGAGAGGTAAAGGTGGGGGATGAATATTGTCTCTCTGAAAGAGGACTGCAGCTTCTTGGAACCAATGCCATTCACCCAAAGTGGTGCTTCATCAGTCCTGCAATTTGTAGGAAGACAACAGGCCACAGTATGAGTGGAAATTCTTGTCTGTCCAATGATTTGTTATTGACTACACTTTGGAGATACCTTAACAGTGTACCTTCTAGAGAAGCACACAATCAGACAACAGATTCCCAATCTTTATGTTTAACTGCAGACATGGGGGCTCCAGGAGTTGCTGTCAGTTTCATTTGACAGTTTTACCATCACTACCACCACAAAATGCTGGTCATTACGTGCATTAGTGTTTGACAGCTTTAACATGGTCACTATGATCATCACTATACTTTATTTTCCAATTAGATAAAAAATTCAATCTCTATGATTTTTGGTGATTCAGATTCAGCCTTTCACATCTGAGAATTTGACAAAGCATGAGACAATTCAAACTGAACATCTCGGGAGCTAACCAAGACAATGCAAAAGTAGAATTGACTATTTGACAAGCCGGTTTGTCCTTAAAGCAGAATTTTTGAGTTCAATGGTTTGAGCATGTTGCTTCTTTAACCAGAAATCAATGGTCACATAGGAAGAAATGTGATGCCATTATTTCAGATGAAACTAATTTTTACATCAGTTGCACCTCCAGAGAGAGATTAATCAGATTGCACTCCATAATCCGTCAAGTTGTCCCCAGAAAATCAATGCTCTTGAAATTGCAAGCCTATTTAATGCCAAGCATCCCACTAGTATATTACATGGGTTGATTAGAAAACCAACTCATAAGTATTAGACTAGCACATAGAGTTGAAAAGAAACAGCTTGCAAAAATATACATGAAAATTATGCATATTAATATAAAATACATGGGGATTCTCATTTCCTCAGATACGTACAGGAATTAATGACCTTATCCAATAAACTAGCTATAAGACTGACACTGTCTACTTCCTAAACTCTGTTTCAATGTCACCCAAGGCTGAAAGACAAAGGTATGGCCGGATGATCACCAATAGGTCCTTCACCTATCAGGGCTACAGGCTGTTACTGCAAAAACAGCAATCTGCCTGACCTTGACAGGAACGCTGTCAATCCTATAAAATTCTTCAACTGTCTACAGAAAGTTAATCATTTCTAGAGAACTGTGTTATCAACAGTGATAATCCCAGTGATAATTGAATATAAAGCAATAAGAAGTCAATCTGAAATAATTTAAGAAACAATTTGAAGACTTGACAGAAGGCTTGAAAGTTTTTCATGGCTGCCAAATGGCCCACAGTCCCTTGGCTGAGTTATGTGTTTATTTGTGGCTTGTAATTCAGAAGAGAGTGTGAAAGGGAGAATTGAGTTATGTGAATGACGGGCTAAGTTTAACAGAAATCAGCTAAATTTCATTTTTGGTGAGTTTCCTGAAGCTTTTCTCTCTGCAAGCCAGAGATGTTTTTCTCACAGTATCATCCCAAATTCACCTCATTAACAATGCACCATGCTCCCATGGCATCTTGCTTGTTCTATTCTCCCACTTGTTGAAGGTGCAAGTTCTTGCTACGGCCAGCATATCTCGGGATTCCTGGTACCAGTGCCATCTTTGAACCCCAGCACTGACTGCCCAGAGGTGGTCTTCAGCACACACGTAGTGCGACAGCAACCACGAACCAATACTTCTCAGGGCACAGAAGTAGCATGGCTGACAGGTTCTCACAGATCCAACTGCATATTTTGACATACATAACTGTTTAAGCATCAGTCCATTTAGCTTACCTGTCCTTAGCCACATCTCATCTTACATCCCTGTTTAAGTCAGTGCTATTTTTTTCTAACCAATCCCTAGTGTAGCCCAGCATTTTTTCTTTGATCAGTGTGGGACCATCTCACACAGGAAAACCTTTAAAAGGTTTCAAAGCAGTCACTTTTATTCACCAACAACAAAAACAAATGGAAAAAAAACAGAAGCTTCTCAGAACAGAAACAACTTCCTTGCCTTTCATGCAGCAATAATTTTACAGTTACTGAATGATCACTCCTCACAGCTCTCATCCACTGGAAGTGAGTGACAACTAAGTCCTATCTGGCTTGTAGAGCCTGACGCTGCTGCATCCTATTATGCATAATATTATGTTCCTCCTACCTCCATCACTGTTTGTCATCATCATTCTCCTCAGAACCTCTTTGCCCTGTCAATATAATGTATGTATAATATATTACATCCTGGACCTGTAATAAATCAGCTATGTTGCAAAGCCTAGTGCTTGGGCTGCAGCACTGATGTCGTCATGAGATGAAACGATGTGATCTGGCATAAATGGCATCAGTAATAGCCTTGATACATTTGTGAGTGGATGACTGAAAGATGTCTGACAGGCTCCAATGGCTCCTTGGAAGAAGTCTGTTGCATATAGATATTTAACGCAGTTTTCAGCTTGACAGCCACTGGGATGGAATGGCCACTCCTTCACGTCACAGTCCCATTCCAGCAGCTGGTATAGCTCTCTGTCAGTGTCCCAGAAAATCTTCAGTGTGAGATAACACTCTGCCTCACTTATCTGGTGGAAATGGCATTGATGAAAATAGACTCTGGCTCTTCTGTACCCCGAGAAAATCTTCAGTTGTGACCTCTTCATGTGGAGGCTGTTCAGCAGTCATTGGAAGATGCATCTGGTCCTGAGCTTGGTAGCACATCTGTTCCTCATCCATTTCCCTGTGTTTCGTTTCAGTGCAGCAACACCAATGATAACCCCATGCCACACATGGTTTAGCAATGATCCATCAGCCACACTTGTACTGAGTCTGTGGGGGAAACATAAAAAATACAGCAAGTGCTTAGTAATGTGAGCAGTCAGCTTTTGCATCACTCACAAATGAAGGTTTAACATAGACCTCCATACAGAGAGACACACAGAGGATTCTGACAAGGAGGGCCAGGGAATTTCTCTACATGGTACTTTG